AGCAGAGATCTGTTTTGGGACCTGTTCTGTTCAATACCTTCATTAACTATTTAAATACCGGCATAGAGATTACACTTATTAAGTCTGCAGACGATACCATGCTGGCAGGGACTGGAACTGCTTTGGAGGATAGGGTCATATTTAAAAATGATCTGGAGAAACTGGAGAAATGGTCTGAGATAAATAGGATAAAATTTAATAAGGACAAATGCAAAGTACTCCACTTAGGAATGAACACTCAGTTTCACACATACAGAATGGGAAGCGACTATCTAGGAAAGAGTACTACAGAAAGTGATCTAGGGATCATAGGGGACCACAAGCTAAATATTAGTCAACAGTGTGAAACTGTTGAAAAAAAAGCAAACATGATTCTGGGATGCATTAATAGGAGTGTTGTGAGCAAGACACAAGGAGTCATTCTTCCATTCCACTCTGCACTGATTAGGCCTCAGCTGGAGTATTGTGTCAAGTTCAGGGCACCACATTTCAAGAAAGACGTGGGGAAATTGAAGAAGGTCCAAAGAAGAGCAACAAAAATGATGAAAGATCTAGAAAACATGAGCTATGAGGGAAGGCTGAAGGAACTGGGCTTGTTTAGTTTGGAAAAGAGAAGACTGAGAGGGGACTTGATAGCGGTTTTCAGGTATCTAAAAGGGTGTCACAGCGAGGAGGGGGAAAAATTGTTCTCCTTGGCCTCTGAGGATAGGACAAGAAGCAATAGGCTTAAGCAGCAAGAGAGGTTTAGGTTGGATATTAGGAAAAACTTCATAATTGTCAGAGTAATTAAACACTGGAATAAATTGCCTAGGGAAGTTGTGGAATCTCCATCACTGGAGATATTTAAGAGCAGATTGGATAGACATCCATCAGGGATGAGCTAGACCATGCTTGGTCTGCCGTGAAGGCAGGGGACTGGACTTGATGACCGCTCAAGATCCCTTCCATTTCTAGTATTCTATGTCCCCCAATGCCAAAGATCCCCTGGCAACCAGGGTAGTAGGAATCTAACCCCTAAGGTAGATAGATGGGGTATAGTAGTTTCAGTCCTTGAAGCTCCAGGAAGCTAAAATCCAGAGGTAGACAGGGCAGTATATAGGGGATTCTCAAAGCCCTGATCCAAAGCTGTTTTTAAGGCTTGCACCTTCATGAAAAGCCTGAATTTCTTCTCCCTGTTCTTAAGATATCTGCTTTGAGTTGAAGTGCAGATCTTACATTTCGAGGGAATACAAATGTCCTGCTAACACTTGAGTGACCAGCAGCCAGAATAGACACCTGACAGGAAAGACAACATTTAAACCTGGGGATGCAGGCATACCCCAGAAATAGGGTCCAGACTAACCCCACTAAATGAGGAAAACAAAGCAAAGGGAAACTCTCCAAATATAGATGATTTACAATTATAACTAACGATTCTAGCTTCGGGGGGTAGCAGAGTTAGTCTGTACAGAAAAAACAACAAATGGTCTGGGAGCACTTTAACAAAACATGTAGATGGTATCATGAGTTTTCGTGGGCACAGCCCTCTTCTTCAGTGCCCACGAAAGCTCATGATACCATCTACACGTTTTGTTAGTCTATAAAGTGCTACCAGATCATTTGTTGTTTTAACTATTCTAAAGTATTAGTAGAAGGAGTCACACTAGAGATTCAGTCTCAGGCTGAAGGTGGTTGAGAAGGAACTGAGGATGGTTTGCCCACACAGCTCTATATAGTGAAGGGCATGAGGATGTGTAGGACATAGCCACCAAAAATCTCTGATCAATGGCATAAGGTGCCTGAGCACCTGAAGTGGAACATCCTTAGGGACATTGTCCAGGATAAAAACTAATAAACACATTTACATAACTGCCTCAAAAACAATCTTTACAGAATCCAATGAAAGATTTCAAATGTCAATGTGGTGATAATATGCAAAATTATCCCCCCTATATATTCTACATCAAAAAGTTGCTATTGTGGTGCATTCAAGTCAAGAAATTCCCCTTCCTTCAATGTTACTCCATGTCATGTTGCCTTCCCCTTTCTGCCATTCACTGTCAGGAAGGGACCGGTTCAACCCAGAACCACATTCAAAGTAATACACAAGTCTCTAAAGGTGCATCTACACAGCTCCGTAACTCAAATACGATATGCAACGCAAATTGCATATCTTATTTGGATGTTATTTCGAAATAGCTTCTTTCATCATTTGGCACAGTCTACACAGTGCCAAATTGCTAAATTAAACGTTACTCTGAAATGTCCTATACTCCTCAGAGAGCCTGAAATAACGGGCTTGCTGTGAAGACACAGGATAGCTATTTTGGGATCCTCTACTATCCCGAAACAGAGTTGCAGCCTAGACGTAGCCTAAGATTCATAGATGTTAAGGTCCAAAGGGACCACTGTGGTCATTTAGTTTGATCTCCTGTATGACACAGGCCATAGGACTTCAAGTCTAATACTTATGGCTAAGCCAGAACAGATCTTTGGAAAAAATCCAATCTTGATTTAAAACATTTCAGAAACAGAAAATCTACCACAACCCTTGGTAAGTTGTTTGGATGGTTAATTACTTTCACTGTTAAAAAAGCTCTGTGCCTTATTTCTAGTTTTAATATCTTTAGCTTCAACTTCCAGCTTTCATACCTAACAGCCCTGTATGACAGCATTTCTTTTTCCCATGTACTTATAGACTGTAATTTAGCTTTTATTTGTATCAAAGTTATGGAAAACATCACGTATTATATTATTTAAATAACAGACTGTTCTATAATTGAAGACAGTATTATACTGCCTGTGCAGAAAGGGCATTGCACAATGTTAATGTTAATGTTGACATTTCCTGGTTGTTGAATGTACAACTATTCAACTTTACAGTTCTTTACATAGTTTTTAATCGAATTTATTAATAATATGGTAAATAAAAATGTCCCACATGTGATCAAAGGAGATTAATGCAAATGAACTATAAAAATGTGGCTACAAGGAGCATTTTCTAATTTAGAAAATTAGAAAAAAAAATCATCATTAGGAAGATTTCACTAATGAGTGCCTTGTGTGCTTTTCCAGCTGAGCAGTGGCAGGCACTCAAAGCTTAATTAACATTATTGGTTGCTACCTTAAGTGCCAGACCATATGTTTACCTGTTTGTTTATACAGTACTTCTCACTGAATACAGAGGTTTACAGATATGTATGTCTCCAGCCCCGAACACACACACACACACCCATAAAGAAATACCTGAATTGGGCCTATGTCTGTGCTAGAAGGGATGCCAAGCATGAATGCCTTCTGGCAAAGCAACTGTGCTACTCAAGAAATACTCAATTACAGCCCAATCCTACAAGATGCTAACTGTGTTTTGCAGGCTGCTGGGCCCCTTAAGATGATGCTCAGCATCTTTCAAGATTAGGGTCATAGAGAGGAAACCATTCTAATTTCAGGAATCACAATGCGAATCTTCGAAAAAATGTACATTTCAGGATTACTGACCTAAGTCAGAGTGTCCAGTTATGTGTTAGGTGCTCAAATTGGCATTGAGGTGCTACAGTAGGCTTTGGGGGACTTAAGTGATTATTTGAATGCCTTAATCTTGACCTTAATAATAAAACTGTGCATCACTACAGCATCTTTCATGTGAGTATTTCAAAGCACTTTAAAACATTCATGATTTAAACCCAATATTCCTGGGAGGCAGATGAATAATAGCCCCATTTTATAGAAGGGAAATGAAGCAGAGAGGGGTCACACAGCAAGACAGCAGCAATGTGGGGAATAGGACTGCGATCTGACTCCCAGTTCTGTGGTTTAACCAGTAGTCAGCACCTGTCCCTTCCAAATGCAGAACTGGCCAGAATTCCTAATTGCAAGCTTAAGCATTTGGCTCTGGGCATGTAAATTGTGTTCCGAGTTGCAAAGTAAAGCCATTTTGCTCACAATGGGATGCCAACAGTGTGAAGAGAAGGAACAAATAGAGTAGAAAGAAGATACATTTTAGAGCTGTCTTCTCCCTCTAGAGATTTTTAAATTGCCATTGGGTATTGATAGAGTTTTTGCATCCTTCATTTATGGTGCAAATGGCCATCTGCTTCAACAGATTGTTTAAAAGACACAGAGCTGTGGGCAATCTGTCTCAGAGCTTCAAGGTGAACAACTAACTTCATTTCATAATCAATTCAGCGAAGCAAGATAGGCCTAATTTCCAGGCTGACAGCAGCAGACTGCAGAATGCCTTCTCTTTGTTAGACTGATTTAAAGGTGGAAGAGGAACAAAGAAATGACCCACTAAATAGAACAGCATGTTCTGCTTTACCTGAGTGCCACCTACAGGACCAGATGTGAACTGAAGATAAGATTACCTGTCAAAAATCCTCTGTGGCTGAATCATGCTATACATAATATGGGTCATGTGATCTTTAGCAGCAACTACTTCTGGAGGAGGATCATACTTATTCACAGCAGCAACCTGTTCCCAGAGTTAGAGGCACAGAAAAGGAAAAGTTAAGTTCTTATTCTTACCTGCAATACCCTGAATAGACTAGTATGAATAATGATGGCTTCATATATATATATAATGGGAAATCCTTGTATCTGTGATTGTTAGACTATATAAAGGATTTTGTGAAATTTACAATGAGCTCAACAGAGAAATGGAAAGCATCCAAAACTAACTCACTATCTCTCAATTTCTTCTATCTTTTCTTGGCTGGAGGGATAAGGCTAAGGGAAGCAGGTCACCTCATAGAGTACACACTTTCTTTGTTTACATTTTCATTATTCATTACTTTTTCTGTTCTTAGTGCTGGTGAAAAATGCCAGACTGAAAGTCACAGAGACAGAAATCCTTCCTGTATTCCCCAGGAAAGCAAAGCTTGGGTATTAGCAATGCAAGCTTCTTCCAAAATGGTCCTGAAAACGTACTTCAGCTTTGATCAAGGAGGGAGTAGGAAGTTCAGTTTCCAAGTCCACCCCATTCTTGGTCCATTCTGCTGAAATGTCCAGTCATGTTACTGATCAATGGACTTTTTATGTATACTGTAGTCCATTTGGAATAGCTCGTTTCATACAGCCACCAAAACACAGCTATCTGATGTTAGCCCTTTTCGCTACTCCCTCCAAGGCACATTTAAATCAGTGATTTGGCCCTGTCTACACTTACTGGGGAATCATATTGGAAACAAGGTTGGAGTGAATAAGCTAAGGATTATTTTTAAAGGAAATTTTCCTGCCAAGACTCCAACCTAGGCTAAGAGATTGTTAATCCTGCTGATTCAAATACGGTTTTGGCCCATGCCTTCTTGTCCCTTACACGCAGATAAGTTTAAACACTATTTCTAAATACAGCTCCACTGTAAGTACAAAAGGAACCCTACAAGTGAAACATTCTACACAGTACCATATCCAACTAATCCTTCCAGTTATTTCTTCCTTCTCTTTTAAAATAATATCCTAATAAAAACAGCTAAAAGAATTAATTTTACTTTATAGCTTTCAGACTGTTCACTTTGCAGTACAAGTTATCTTAAGAAAATTATAGCAGTAACGTGGTGATTACAATGTCAAAGCACTTTACAAATATTTGTTTAGATTCATTAATTAATAACTAGGGACTGCCTCTGACTGGGACTACTTACTTTTTCATTAAGAAATATAGTCTTAAAATGTGGATATTGATAAAATAGAATTGCTTTTGACAATGCAACACATGTATCATCATATGTTAAGAATATTCAAAGCAAAACTGAACGGTACTGAACCTATATAATTAGAAATATACTTAAAGCAATAGGAAGACCAAGAACAGGGTAGGCCATTTGTTCAACGAAGAAGGAGAAACAATAACAGAAAACCTGAAAAAAGCAGAGGTGCTTAAAAACTTCTTTGTTTAGATTTTCACCAAGAAGGTTGGTGGTGACTGGATGCCTAACATTGTGAATGCTAGTGGAAATGGGGTAAGTTTAGAAGTTAAAAATTACATAGAGAACTTAGATGTCTGCAAGTCACCAGGGCCTGATGAAATGCATCCTAGAATATTCAAGGAGCTGATAGAAGAGGTATCTGAGCCATTAGCTATTATCTTTGAAAAATCATGGATGTCAGGAGAGATTCCAGAAGACTGGAAAAGAGCAAATATAGTACCCATCTATAAAAAGGGAAATAAGAACAACCCAGGAAACTACAGACCAGTCAGCTTAACTTCTGTACCAGGAAAGATAATGAGGGCAAATAATACTCAGAGAGTAGTTATTAATGGTTCATAGTCATGCTGGAAGGGCATAACAAGTGGGGCTCCAGAGGGATCTATTTTGGGACTGGTTCTATTCAATACCTTCATCGATGAGTTAGATAATGGCATAGAGAGTACTCTTATTAAATTTGCAGATGATACCAAGTTGGGAGGGGTTGCAAGTGCTTTGGAGGATAGGATCATAATTCAAAATGATCTGGACAAACTGGAGAAATGGCTTGAGGTAAATAGGATGAAGTTCAGTAAAGACAAATGCAAAGTACTCCACTTCAGAAGGAACAATCACCTTCGCCCATACAAAATGGGAAGTGATTGTTTAGGAAGGAGCACTGCAGAAAGGGATCTAGGAGTCATAGTGGACCACAAGCTAAATATGAGTCAACAGTGTGACACTGTTGAAAAAAAAGCAAACATGATTCTGGGATGCATTAACAGGAGTGTTGAGAGCAAGACACGGGAAGTATTTCTCCCACTTTACTCTGCACTGATTAGGTCTTGATTGGAGTTTTGTGTCCAGTTCAGGGCTCCACATTTCAAGAAAGATGTGGAAAAACTGGAGAGGGTCCAGAGTAGAGCAACAAAAATTATTAAAGGTCTAGAAAACACGAGCTATGAGGGAAAATTGAAAGAACTGGGTTTGTTTAGTTTGGAAAATAGAAGACTAAGAGGGAGCATGATAGCAGTTTTCAAGTATCTGAAAGGATGTTATAATAAGGAGGGAGAAAAATTATTCTCTTTGATCTCTGATGATACAACAAGAAGCACGGGGCTTAAATGTCAGCAAGGGAGGTTTAGGTTGGACATTGGGAAAAACATCCTGTCAGGTTGGTTAAACATTGGGATAAATTGCTTAGGGAGTTGTGGAATCTCCATCATTGGAGATACTTAAGAGCATGTTAAATAGACATCTATCAGAGATGATCTAGATGGTGCTTGGTCCTGCCATGAGGGCAGAGGACTGGACTTGATGACCTCTTCAGGTCCCTTCCAGTTCCAGAGTTTTATGATTCTTTTGGCCGTAGAGTGCGGCAAATTCTTTTCCCTCTCACATGAAGCAATCTTTTATCAGCACATAAATATTTATGAAAATAACTCGTATTTAACACCTTAGCCCAGAAGGAGACAAGATTATTTAGCAAAATTACAGAACTATATGGTGTTTCCAATAGTTTTCATATACCTTTTCTTCCGCTTTAATCTTCCTGTGATCCAGTTCAGTTAGCCGGAGCAACATGAAAATAACCAAGAGCCAATATTCTGTTTGTTCCTGTAGTAGAAATAAGAGAAACATTCATCTGTTTTCACTTTCACATATATAAATATTTAAATTCAAATTTGCAAATAATATCTCAAAGAACATCTTATAATATGTTATAATGTATGATGTCTTTCACCACAATAGATCTCTATGAGTTGTATAATCTGATCACTTCCCCCATCAATAAAATGCAGCCACCTCAGGAATGAAACCAGAGAGTGGTTAAACAGTTTGAAACAATAACATGTCAAAATTTAGAACAGGAACTGAAGAATAATAAATATCCAACTGAAAATGTACAGGGAACAAAGCTGGACAGAAAGTAATTACCCATATGAGAATTAGATGATAACCCCTGGTAATGCCACTAGTCTTGCAAGAAGTGTTATAGGAACTTTTCTTTAAAGTCAGTGTATAAATATAATCACTATGTATGCTTGTAAATCACAGAAATGTCTGATACATTATAACATAGAATAATTAACAATTAAATAGGAACCTGACATCTTGACAACCTGCTAAAGTATATTAATTCTGAGAAAAGTCAGGTCCTATTAAACGATTGAAATTCAAAGACAGTCTCAAAGCTGTTTTAAGATAATTGTTGTTTATTTTTCCCCATGTAACTGAAAACCCTGTAAATTAACTGGAAAAAACCAGACATATATGTATGCATGCAGGTGCACACACTTTAATGGGGTAAATTTCTGCTCTCAGCTTTGTCAACAGTGACATAAACGGGCCATTTGCTATGGAACAAGGGGTGCAACTGGCCCTTTGACCTTGGTATGATGCCCCAAACTGTTCATAGGTCCCTCTGCTCCACTCTCCCGCTCACCTCTGCAATGCTGCAGGATAGACTATAATCACAGATAATGTTGTGTGTGTGTTGCTCATCCCCCACCACTCCAGAATTCTTCTGAAATGATGCAGAGAGCTGCAAGGTCAGGAAGAGGTGGTGTATTTCAAACATTTCTTTATGTTCATTTCACTGCATACAATAGACTAGTCTCAAGAAACACACTACAGAAATCAACTGAGTTATCTTGAAACAAGAAGGAGAAGTTAAACTGTTAATATTTCTTCTCCAGACATTGGAAATCGCTGCAAATTTTAAAGAGGATCTAAAATCATCAAAGCAGGATGCAAGGACCTTTAATTTTCAGCACTATCCGGGACAAGTTATAAATACATGGTGTACAAAGTCAGTACATAAGATTTTACCCTGCTTTAAAGGTTTTTGTCATTGATAAATGGGCTGTTTTAGTTCATTAATCAGGGAAGATTGTAGGGTCCTTGAATGAGAAACGAGTCTCAAAGAAAGCAAGTCCATTCCAAAGACAGACAAGGTGGTTGAAGTAATATCTTTTATTGGACCAGCTTCTACTAGTGAGAGAGGCAAGCTTTCAAATTTACACAAAAAAAGCTCTGGGTAAGCTAACAAGTTTCTCTCTCTCTCTCCAACAGAAGTTCGTCCAGTAAAGATATTCCTTCACTTACCTTATCTCTCTAATATCCTGGGATGGACACAGCTACCATTACAATTCCAAGGAGAGGCAGTTTTAAAAGTTCTCTCAGGAATCAGTACAATTTAAGGTTGCCAACCCTCCTGGTTTTGCCAGCTATCTCCCAGAGTTGGGCTTGATCTCTCAGAGACTCCTGACACCAAACGGGAAGATCGACCACTAACAGTCTAGCAGTACAGTGGGGCAAAGGCAGGCCCCCTGCTGCCCTGCCTGGCCCTGCTTCCAGAAGTGAAGCCACCAGAACATCCCTCCCTGCAGTATCTAGGTTGGGGGTGGAGGTTTCTGCACATTGCCTCCCACCCTGAGCTAGAACTCTGCTGCTACCATTGGTCAGGAAGTGTGGCCAAAGGGGAACTGCTGGGGAGGTGACTGCAGGCAGGGACAGCAAACGGCCCCTGACCCCACCTCCTAGAGGCCACAGGGACATGCTGTTCGCATCTGGGAAAGGCATGGGACCAGGGCAGACAGAGATCCTGCCTTAGCCTGCTGCACCATCAACCTGGCCTTGGAGCTGCCTGAGGTAAGTGCCACCACCTGGCTGGAGCCTACACCCCTATCCCTTTCCCCAACCTTAAGCTGCCTTCCCATATTCAAACTCCCTCCCAAAGCCCACGCTCCATCCTGCACCCCTACCAGCTGCTCCATGCTCATCCCAGTGCCCCCTCCCACACTCCAAACCCCCCAGCCCAGAGAAAATACCCTATCACTCACCCCAACTCTTGCCCCATTCCGGTGAAAATGAATGAGTGTGGGGGATAGTGAGCAATGGAGGGAGGAGAGATGGAATGAGTGGGGGGTCCTGGGAGAAGGGGTGGAGTAGGGTGGGAGCTCAGGAAAGGGGTGGGGCAAGGGTGCTTGGTTTAGGGATGTAAAATCCCATTTAATCAGTTAACTAGTTAAATGTTTAACCACTTCACTGCTTAAATGGAGGAAGGAGGGGGCCACTCCAGCTGAGCCGGCTGGAGTGGCTCCCCCTCCCACAGCATGGCATGATGCGCTTAGGCCCCCCACCAAGGGTGGGAGCTGCACTGGCTGGACTGGAGTATCCCGGCCCACGACACGGTGGGCTGCTCCAGCCAGGCCAGGCCTGCTACAGGTGGGGACTGTTCCAGCCAGGTGGAGCCCACCATGGTTAACCATTCACATCCTTAGTTTGGGTTTGTGTGACTGGACAGTTTGCAACTCTAATCCAGCTGTCGTTGAAGTTAATAGGATCCTTTCCATGGACTTCAGTGGAAACAAAATAAGGCCCCCAAAACTTTTAAAAATTGTAGAGGGGTACCCCAGCATCTATTCTGTCCAAACATCTCTCTCACACTTCAACACAGGATGAACTTTCACTGCAAGTACACTTTCAGTTACCTGTTCACATGGGGGGCTGATGACCCAGTTCTTGGAGACTAGCCCTCGTCCCCTGCTCCTCCCACCCTCGCAGGAGCCCAGAGCACTCCTAGTGCCGAGCAGCTGGGGGGTGAAGCTGCAGTGCAAGGCAACCAGCCCTCGACCCTCGTGCTCTGGGTAGTGCGGCCTCAGTGGTTCCAGGCCCCATGGACCAGGTGGTATGATTGCAACACCGTCAGCCACTCTGCAACAGGCAGCAGCCCCAGAATGCAAAACAGCATGACTGTAGCACCCCCTAGGAGCCAGAAAATGTAGTCCAAATGCCCAGCGGCTAGCACATCCCAGCACCAGCCTTCCTAAGTCTCTGTGGAAGGCCCACCAGCCAGCCTGGCCCAGCCATGACAGAATGCTGGAAAGTGTACAAAGGCCTGGCCTGGGGAAGGAGCATGAGTGGGCCCACACTAGGTGCTTTGGGGTTGACGATACCTGCTGGCTATATCTGTTCACCTCTTTCTTACCTGTACTGGGTTCCTTAAGAGATTGAGCACCCGAAGGAGAGGCAGATCTTCAATATATTCCATCTCACCCAATTCAGAAATCTAGTTATTCACAAAATAAAAAGGTATCAGTAAAAAGCCACACTGGATAAGATAACTGTAGGGAGAAAGACTCTCAGTGCTAAACTGTAAAATGTGGGCACAAAAACTCCACGACACCTGCGAAAAGTATGCACGCATCCACGGCATACAAAAAGACTTCTTGGCACACAACTCAGGCAGCATGCCTGGGTAACTTGCTTAGGCAGGACTAGATGGTTATTTGAAAAGATATGGCTCTTTCCAACCCTTTGCATAATATCTTGCCACACCTGAGTGCCTATTTTTTTTTTTTACATAGACACTCAACCCTTAGGCAATAGACTAAGAACCACCAACACATTTCATGCAAGCCACTAAACAACAGCTATCACATTGTAGTACATCTGGCTGAAGTGAACCAGCCGGCAATAAGATGCTCTGAAAGACTGCAGCTGGCAGTCAGGTCCTGTAGGTCCTGTACATTTTTTTCTCCATTTGGTGTCTGTAACGCGGGAGCCCCGTGCTGCTCCCCGTCGACTTCAGTCTCCCCTTTTTGGTGGTCCCCCTCACCACTCGTGCTACCCCACTTCCCCTCTTCCAGTGCTGCGTGCCTCTCCTTCTGTGCTGTGTGCCTCTCCTCCTCCTCCGCTCTCTCCTCCTTCTCACTCTTTTCCGCTCCGTTCTCTCTCCGTCCCCCTCTTTCCTCCGCCTTGCTCCTCCGTCCTCCTACCACTCCACCCCCCTTCTGGCTTCTCCGGGCCTGTTTTTAAAATCCCCGCCGACATCCGGCCCTGATGACGTCAGGCGCCGCGTCGACGGGCTCCTCCCCCGCCGTACGTCGGCGTCCCGACGTCCCCGGCCCCCGCCGCGCCCCCCCGCCCTCGCCGCGCCACCCGTTATCCAGGCCGCGGCGGAGGAGCAGGCCCTGCAGTCCTGCCGCGCTCTCCGGGTGGTGCCCAGGAGAGTCTGGGCGATCGCGGGTTGAGTGCGGGACGGGCCGCTGTGTGGGGTGTGGGGGCGGTGTGCCCCGTCACAGTGTCCAAAAGACAGTAACAGGGAAGGCCTCTCTTTAAAGCCCGCATGATTAGCTGTTTTAGAAAGCTAAGGCCAATCATAGGACCTGACAATTAAAACATGTCATCACTTACCTCTACATTATGGCTGTGTCTACATTGGCACCCCTTTCCGGAAAAGGGATGCTATGGGCGATCGCGGGTTGAGTGCGGGACGGGCCGCTGTGTGGGGTGTGGGGGCGGTGTGCCCCGTCACAGTGTCCAAAAGACAGTAACAGGGAAGGCCTCTCTTTAAAGCCCGCATGATTAGCTGTTTTAGAAAGCTAAGGCCAATCATAGGACCTGACAATTAAAACATGTCATCACTTACCTCTACATTATGGCTGTGTCTACATTGGCACCCCTTTCCGGAAAAGGGATGCTAATGTAGACTTCGGAATTGCAAATTCCGCGGGGCATTTAACTATCCCCCACGGCATTTGCATTTACATGGCTGCCGCTTTTTTCCGGCTTTGGGGTAAGCCTCAAGGAATAAGAATAAGGAATAAGGAATAAGAAATCCTCCGGAAAAGGGCTTATTTTCCGGAGAATCGCATCTAGACTAGGAATAAGAGATCCTCCGGAAAAGGGCTTATTTTCCGGAGAATCACGTCTAGACTGGCGCTTTTCTCCGGCTTATCCCCAAGCCGGAAAAAAGCGGCAGCCATGTAAATGCAAATGCCGCGGGGGATATTTAAATCCCCCATGGAATTTGCAATTCTGAAGTCTACATTAGCATCCCTTTTCCGGAAAGGGGTGCCAATGTAGACACAGCCTATGTGTTGAAGAACAACATGAAATCCTGAATGATTCTGAACTGATGCCCTGACGGTGGCTTTATGTATCGAATGATGCCTAGTCAGGAAGTTTCCTCTTCGCCATTATCTGCACACGCAACTTCTTATTTATGCACATAATTATCCCTTTGCTTATGCAATCAAACATGTTGCATTCAAAAGTATGGAGGTTGAAAATCACTGCACATACATTGTGCAGTTAATACCCTTGTGCCCACATTTGAAAAAAATGGATTTGAAATTTTCATTGTGGGAGCCAGCTAATCGAAATCTTTTAAATCAGTCTGCACTGCTTCAAAAATGTTATCTCTGCCCACTTATAAAAGCACCCCTCCAAAAGGAAGTGAAATATTTTAATAGAAGCTTGTGATGAATGGCAGGTTCAGTATGTACCACTTCTGAATGGTGAATGATTTTATTGAATTGTATCATGAATCTACTGTGTGATGGAAACTTAAAAGCATGTGGATCCACTCTGAGTTAACAAGTCTTTGTCATGTCTCTTCCCGACTGAAGACAATGGTGAGTTCACAGAGTGATGGGCTGTTTAAATACCTTGGGTTAGTTAATAGGTTTGCTGTAGATGGGAGAAGATACTTCCCTTCCCCCCACCCCCGATACCTGAAGATGGGGGAGGTTGAGAGCAGTGGAAAATTACCAACTAAAGGCAGAACAAAAGAAGCAAATGACACCCAGCAGGAGTCTATAAAGGGATTCACAGGAGGGAAGGAACGAACATGGTCCAAGAACCATTTTGCACTAGATTAAGATGGGGAGGCTGATGCAGTGTCAGGATAGGCAAGAGGGCAAAGGACCCTGCCTGCCTGAGAGAACTCAGACGATACCCCAAGAATTCCCAAGTGAAGGTTGGGCTAGTGGGAGACACTGTATCTGATACTGTAGCTAGGGTATTTTACTGTTTTGTGTGATCTGTCCTTAGGATGGTCACTGGCACAGGCCTGGAATACTAGACATTTCAGTACTCCTTACATTTACACACACAGTAAATGCGAGGTCACACCACAAATGGGTGCCATTTTGAACTGCACACTGCTTTGGCCCTGCCAGCATGACCTCACACGCATGTTGTATGTGAGGTCATACTAGCACTCTATTATGGTGCCCCACATCTGATACTAGACAAAACCATGCCCAGTTTTGTCTCAGCACTGGACAAGAGACAAAGATTACAAACGCAGGCCAGTCTGGTTTGAAAGTGTTTTTACATGATTAAATATAAAGTGAATCAAGGTGAGAGGCTAAACAAGTGAATATGTACCGTTGATTGCTTCACAACTACTGCATGCCCCTGAGTGAGCTACACTATAAACCAGAAACGCCACACCTTTTGGGTGAAGTCTATATTTAAATACGGTGGAGTCTGAAGGGTCAGCACTCTTCCTGGAAGGGGGCACAGTGGATTTCAATTCTCAGAGGAGGGTGCGAGATAGAAGGCCTCTGACCTGAAAATGTGCCTAGGAACCCTGTGATTAGGGTGAAAGCTTGATTTGATTTGAGATCCAATAGTTTCACATATCTCCGGGGATCCAGAGCTCAGAGGCTGCATTCCCTTCCCAGCAAGCCTAGTGGCTGCCCAGAGGGTTAATTCACTAGGATCTTTGACAGATGCATGATAGTTTCTCTCAATACACAATGCAGAGAACACAGATCAGCTGTTTCAGATACTATACACTTTCATGTGCTCAAGCTTTTCTGACATTGAATTCTGGGGAGCAAAGACTCTCAGAAATAACCCACTACAAATAAGTTGCGTGACATAGCTTTGGTCACGAGGTTTTACTGCTGAAATTGTGCTGGATGTTGTTTACTCAATGTTCATCCTCCAATTGTCATACAACTCCTGATATTAGCACATCCTGCACCTCTACTTAGTTTCTGCAACTCCTTTAACGATTCCACCTTGAGATGGTAAAAGTGTCTTGATCTTCCGGAAGAAAAATAAGTATGTGAGTTCACCTGGAAAGGCATCATCTCTGGATGATGGATCACAAAGCTTGTTGTGCTGCACACACATGTACTTCAACATCCATGTTGCTGCAGTAATAAGGTTACTATGTTTTAATTGTGGCAACATTACAAAATCCTGCCATTTTACATAATAAAATTGTGAATTCTCTTTGGCTATGTCTATACTGCCGGTTTTGCCGGAAGGGAATATGCAAAGCAGACGTGGATTAGCATATTTTCATGCCTCATTTGCATATTTTATGCATGCCATTTTTTGCAAGGGGGGGGGAGTAGTCCAGACGGGGTTTTTTTGTGCAAAAACCCCTCTTTCCACAAGATCAGTAAATCTCCTTTATTGGGGCATGAGGATCTTGCAGGAAAAGGGGTTTTTGTGCAAAAACCAAATGTCCACACTGCTTGTTTTTGCGAAAAAACCCTAGTGCAAAAACGTATCGGCAGAAAATATACAAATGAGATCACGACTCATGAGTGCAAAAACTTATCGGCAGAAAATATACAAATGAGATCACGACTCATGCAAATGAGTCCCTCATTAGCATATTTTTTGCTGAGAAAACTCGTAGTGTAGGCATAGTCTCTCTCTGCAGGAGTATTGAGCATCCTCTGAAAAGGAGTAATAGGTGCATCTTTTCCATTATTTTTTCCCATCTATTGTTTTGATGAAGAATTCCAAAATGTTCCAATATGCTGAGGTAACACATGTGCCAAATTAAGATTACAAAGCAGATAATGAGGCACTTGTCTTAAAAGCAGACATACTGTGCAGCTAACCAAACTAATGTTATATTATTACTCTGAGTTTTGTTGAATAATGAATTCAGTACAGCTGAAAGGGCCCCCAGAACAATATCACCTTTGACTAGTGATTTTAATCTCTAGAGATATGCAATTCATGAAGTGGCAGCTAAAGATTTCCCCATACTGTCCCATCAATATGTACTACCCACTGCTGGGATGAAAGGCGTGCTTAGTCTCCATAGCCTCATAGAAAAGGGAAATTCAAAAGATTCCACTAATCAAACCTGCCTACAGTACTACTGCTCTGTTCGACCAGTGACTGCAACACTGGGCATTTCTGCAGGATCCTGGAATGCACTTGTGTCTGAGAAAGTTCCATGTGAAGCTACATGGTGGGACATGGCTTCCCATAAACCAACAATTCCTTTCAAATGTCAAAGCTGCAAGCCCAAATTCCCTCTGTTTCTTCTCTTGTTGGACATTTAGTCCCCTAGATAGGGGCTTTCCCTCTGGAAGTAGATCTTTTACTGTTTCTTGGTTCTGCACCCTAGTGTAATTTTAGAGGGAAAATTACAAACTCTCTATTTGACCCTCATAACCACTAAGATATGTAAGTAAGGACCACAGATGAGAATGCAGCTTCATTTACTTAGGAATTAAAGTTCAGGGACACAAGAACCGTAAATCCTGCCTCCAAATCATTCATATAGGAGAAGCCATGGACACTTTAACACCTGGTTGCAGACCTTTCTTCCAAAAGTGGGAGAAAATGAAATCCAGTGTGATCATTTCTGATAACAGAGGATCTCTGCACTGCAGTAGTAGGTTACATGTCTTGGAATTTGTAATCAAATACATTGGTTTGAATGCCATTGTCAAGAAAAAAAATAACCAGCCACCTAGGATATTGAGTTTTTACCAATGATAACATGTCCTTAAAGTTACTCTAGAGAAGAAGATATTGGAAAAGTGGCAATTCATTGCTCATTTTCAGTAACATTTCATTAAGAGAGGACATAAACCAAACACTGATGAGGCAGAATAGCTTCGGCCTGCTACAGGGAACAAAGAGATCTACATGAGACAAATGCTAATGATGGCCATATTTGATTTTAAACACTGATGCGTCTTTAAATATTGACCTGAACATGATGCTATAAAGAGAATCACGATGATTATGTCAATACTTGTAGGGTCTGTTCTGAAAATTGGGAGAATAATCTGAATATTTCAATGTCCAGTTTTTATTGTTGATTTTTATTTGCCTACATTTTAAAATAAAGACTTTGGGGTGGGTTAGGATCATAAACAAAGTCTTGGCTGTGATAGGAGAATGATTCTTCCACTGAGATATACAGAGCTGTAGCTGGGTTGGTCACAGGATATTAGAGACAAAGTGGGTTAGCTAGTATTTTGTATTGAACTCGCTAACAGAAGACGATATGATAAAATAATCACTTCATCCACTGGGAGTCTTTTCTGAAATTAATGACATTGGTATCTCAGTGATCTGGTGGGTTAATTGACTAACCATTTGACTATAGAGCCCACGGTTCAAATCCATGTTAAGACTACAGACATAAAAGAGTTGGATTGTCTGACCCTGCTCTCCAGTGAGTGTTTATCTGTATAACAAATGTCATCTTACAGTACGCATAATGGATGTTGTCTGAGAAAGGCTCATGAGAAGCTTACATGTTTTAAGGTTCATCATGATCATTCAATCTGATCTGAATGCTGCAGGATTGAGGGATGTTGGCAAGATATGTTGGGGTTTGTGCAGGAGTAGCCAAGGTATGAATAGAGATTATCTGGCACTGCTTGATGGAAGAAGGTAGCACTCAAGAGACACCGACTTCATGATTTCCTCTAGGGGTGCTGGACATCTGCTTCACCCCATGCCCTGTCTCCACTCCAATCCTTCTCCCAAACCTCCAATCTTGTCCTGCTATTTCCCATCCCACCCTTTCCCCAGTACCTCCTGTACATTACTGAATAGCTGATCACAATGGGGGGGGAGGTGCTGGGGTGGGGTGGGGAAGAAGTTGATGGAATTGACACCTACACAGTCATTCCCTGTAATGTGGTCTCACTGTGGCATGAGAATGCTGTCCTCCCTTCATAGTCACGGGCACTAAATGCTCCCTAGGAGTTATCCACAAACCAAAATTAGTCCAAGCAAACAAACAAGAACAGGAAGTAAGGTGTTTCTCAACATAAGTAAAGGGAGCAGAATGAGTCATTAAGTGAAAGCCATTTTTTTCTTGTAGTGTTTTGGGATATTTGGCTGAACTTACGGAAAGTTAAATTTCAGAAAAACACAGTGAAGCTAAAAACAAATCAGATGAGTATGCATGATGTTACCTGATTATTTTCTAGGTTGATTACTTCTAGTAGATCATGCTCCTCCAAACCTTCTAAGCTACTGATTTTATTGCTGGACAAGTCCAAGTTCTGAAGGGCTTTCAGGTCCTCCAAACCAGTTATCTTCTCAATCTGGTTAGCACACTGAAAATCAATCCAAAGTATATAATAAGTCTTCACAAGATTTCAGAGGTAAAAAAAATGTTTCTGATGAGGAACAGCATCCTAGAGTCTAAATGGGTAATTTCTTGATTCACTTTACATACCATTTGGAATCTTAGTAACAGGACAGGTCATTTCTTTTCTCCTGGGCCTTATATAAATTGGCATTGCACTAAAGTAACATGTTCCCTCATATTAACTCCATCCTCATCTTGAGATGCCAGTTTTTAATTCCTCGTTCTGCTCAGGAAGTAACAGTAATGCTGTACCAGTTGGGGCTGGTTGTCAATAAAATAAAGTGGCCCCTGATTTTCTCTGCAATTTCATAGTTAGTAGCTACAGAATTCTCTCCCCATTATAGAATTGTGCCCCAATTTTTATTAAAAAATGATGTTTGTTACCTATATGGCTGTAAAAAGATCAAAATGTAAAACTGCACATAACTCAATACATTGTGATGTTCCTACGTCGGCAAGCAACTTGAAACAATAGCTCTTTGATGTGTCAACTTATCCTGTTTACCTCGGTGGGTGTTAGCCTAAGTAAACCTCTAGTTTGGGTAATATTGTACTCCATGAATATTACCACTGAAATTATTGTATGGAAACATATCAGAATCTAATAGTTGGGATTGCTCAGTGCTTTCAAAGGCCCCTAAAATAGCTTTTTGTTGTACTCCACACAAGGCCTGACTTCCCTTTCTCCAGAAGAGAAAACGGATGAGAAGGTTGCATATTTCTGATTAGGTTCCAGGTAGTTTCCTTGCTTGAAGCCCCATCAATCATATAGCCATCCCTATTACCAGCTCCTAGAATAGAGTTGCATGCTTGCTTGTGTGTTAATCTTGGGCCTCAATTACTGTGTCTACCAAGATGGGATCTCAACCAGACACTGTCTGGAACCATAACCTTGAAAGTTACATATCTCATTCCACCCACGTCACTTTATGCTGGAACCGGAACCTATTTAGGTTTCAAATGCTATTAAATATTTATGAACTAGATAGATAGATAGATGGGTGTATGGAGATAGATAGATAGATAGATAGATAGATAGATAGATAGATAGATAGATAGATAGATAGATAGATAGATAGAAAGAAACCCACAGAAAAAATCAGTTGGGGATCACATGAGTGACAAGCAATAAAAACCCTCCAAAAAACCCCAAACCCCACTGATGTCGGCCCCAGCTGAGACACTTCACTTCTCTGGCACTCCTGCCCCCACCCCCCAGGGCAGGGGGATGACTGAGGTTCAGGGCTTCCCACAGGCCAGATTTACTCTTCTGAGGTTCCAGGGTTATTGGATATTGTGGACCCCCTAGGATCTGGGGTTGAGACAAAAATGTGGTATTCAGTGTGCACTGCCAGCGAGAGGAATGGGAGTGCAGGATCTGGGCAGGAGGTGGAGTGCAGAAGTGGGTGAGGGGTGTGGTCTGGATGGGAGGAAGGGTGCAGGAGCAAGCTGGGTGTAGGGTGTCTGACCCAGGGAAGGGGGCAACAGCAAGGGAAGGTGCAGTGTGTGGCCAGGAGGGAGTGTGCAGGCGCAAGAGTGGGTTCAGGAGCAGGCTGCAGATAGGGTGTCTAGCCAGGGGGGAAGATGCAGGAGAAGGATGGAGGGAGGGTGTCTGGCCAGGGGGGATGGCGAAGGAGCAGGCTGTGGATGCTCGATGGGATGGTGGTGCATGAGGGGGCAGGGGATGTGGGGGTCTGAGCGGCACTTTGTGCCCCGCACCAGTCCCAGGCACCACCTCTCACTGCTCCCATTGGCTGGATTCTGTTGGAGCACCAGCACCGGCTTCCCACTGGGGGAAACGGGAGAGAGAAAATCCCAAACCACGCTGTGCGATCCAGCTCACGGGGAAGAAGTGCTCATCTTCCCCTCTGCAAGCTGGGAGAGGAGGAGGGGAGTGCTTCTTCCCCACAGCGAGGCTTGGCACTTTCTCTCCCCCCGCAGCGGGAAGCCAGAGCTGGCGCTCCAACTGCACGAGGGGAGGGGAAGGCAGGAGGGTGAGGTTGTAGCACCAGTGCGGGCTCCCCGCTGCAGGGGGAAGGAAGGGAGCTGAGCTCGAGCCACACACCATCAGGAAGGCGGCCGCGGAGCCCCTCATGCTGATTTGGGGAACCATGGGGGATACGTTTGCACCCTTTGCACCCCTGCATATGGGTCTGAGCTGGTTTATGGTGTTCAAGCTCTGGGAGGGAGGAGGAAGAGCAGGAATAGGGTATGAATCAGTCAATTCCTGGCGCTTTGGAAACGCTGGGAAGGAGGGGGAGAAGCAGGGCTGGGGTGTGCTTGGGGAGCAGGCAAGGAAGAGGCCTGGTGGGGGTTTGAGGGAAGGAGTGGAGTGGGGGCGGGGCCTGCAGCCCCTGGCAAAATGAAAAGCGACACACATTTAAAGCAAGGACACGTGTGAGGTGCACGCTGATTGCACACCACATTGTGAGAGCAGTGCGCTCTCTCTGCTTCTTTATGTTACTTTTGCCAGCAATTTAATTTGCCCCTAATAATGGATCACTTTGTACTGGAAAGGTCTGGTAAAGAAGGAGAATCACGTGCAATGTATTTAATCTTACTCTTGGGGTCATGGTTAGTGCACATGCCCAATTTCAATCTTGTGGCTCATGGAGATGAAGGAAGCCCACTCACTAACCTTTAATATAATATATAATATATATAACCTGGGTTGCCCAGCGCTGTCTTAATGTGTATGAATTTAAGCATGTACATATGTATGCTCAGATTCAAGTTTTGAAGATATCGGTTACATATTTTAAGATCATAATTACAAAGAGAATTAAATGAAGAGGCTGAAGAATATACTTTCTGCTTTTAAATAACAACTTAAAAGCACACTTCAGCGCATATTTAAAAATATTTCTTACCTTTCTTTCTACCTCCACTTACAGCCATTACTACTTAGCATTTACACACTACTTTTCAGTCACAGATATCATTATCCCATTTTCAGAAGGGGAAACGGAGACACAAAGGCACACTGAGGTATGTAAGCCATGCAGTGTTAGTAGCAGAGCTGGGAACAGAACCAACATATCCTGAAATAAGGCCCATGACATATTCATTGGATCATGCTGCCACTCTGACTTCAAGAGCCTCAAAATAAGTTTGCTTCTATAATTAATGATATTAATTCTCTGAATTTTACTCATCTTGGAAAATAAATATAGGCTGGTCAATTTCTCTTTCACCCCTCATGCCCTAGCAAAGTGCTACTGTAAACCAAAACAACGTCGCAAGGAAATGTCTATTTCAATACATTACTGTTTTACATTTTTAATTAATATTTTTCTACACACGTCTGATTCTTTCAAAATGAAGTTGGACAAACACTGTACTGAGGGCCCACACACTGTTGATATTTTTAACTTCTAAAAGGGCTACCAAAGAGAAAACGAGATACGATGTAACTAAAACAGTATACAGTACAAAAGCAAAATGTAAACCAAATTTTATTTGCATTGACTATAAACAGACTTATGGAAACCAGCCTACCTATCACAAATACATTTATTAAGGAACTGATCTGGGCTATTTAAAAATACTTTACTTAAAAAAATGAACTCATCACTTACCAGACTGAGTACTTTGATAGGTAAGTTCGTCAGACCACTGATTGTAGTGATCCTGTTGTGTGCCAAGCTAAGATAAGTCAGGCTATGGCACTTCTCTAGCCCTTTGATCTCCTCTATATTATTATCTACAAATCAGTGTTGCGCTTAAGGAAAACAATCAAGTATAAAAAAAACTTAGCAATATTTAGAACTAAGTTAGCAGGTCTCTCTCTCTCTCATTGTACTTAATACCCTATCTTCATCTTTCCCCTGTAACTTATTTGTTTCAACCACCAGTCATGTCTTGTCTCTCAAGCCCAACCCCCAGTCCTGCAACTGCATGCATGCGGAGAGTTATCGACATCTGTTGGGAGCTCCACTGAAGTCAATGAGCTTCCAGGCATGTCGAGTTAGTTGCAGGATCAAGGCTCTGAAAACTGAGGCAGAAGCCATATTTTTACTATATGTTTGTGCAGCACTGAACACAATCAGATCTCAAAGCATTGCTGCATAGACCAGTGGTGACCAAACTTACTCTCAAGCCACATACAACAATCCTCAGAAGTACAAGAGCCACAAAACACAGAAAACATACCCCCCAGGGCAGTGCCTGCTGGGGTCAGAATTCTGACCCAACTCCTCCCTGTGAGGCTAAAGCCCTGAGACCCCCTACCCCACAGGCAGATAACTCTAATCCCACAAGGCAAAAGGCCCAGGTTTTTCTGCCATTCCCTTCTCTTCCCCCACAGTCTGACAGAGAATGGAGCAAGTGTAAAAGAGCCACATGCGGCTCACAAACAGCAGATTGCCCACGTCGGGCATAGACCATAAAGCGTAACAATAATTATAATTATTTATTATTATGGTTTATTATTGTTATCCATATTATTTAAGTAATCAAATTTTTACTTGAATTTGAATTAAGTTATATCAGTCTCAGTACTGATTCTGTGGCCAAATGGTGGTAGCTGTGTTAGTTTACTTTAAAGTAAAGCAGAGGCTCAACTAAACAGATCATATAAGTAGGGTCCTACCAAATTCACCGCCATGAAAAGCACATAATCAATCATGGAATCTGGTCTCCCCTATGACATCTGGTATTTTTTTGTGCTTTTATCCTATGCTATATGGGGAGACCAGCATTTGTCAAATTGTGGGGCCTGACCCAAAAGGGAGTTGCAGGAGGTCACAAGGTTATTTGGGCGGGGAGGGGAGATACAAAATTACTATCCCTGCCACTGTGCTGTCTTTAGAGCTGGGCAGCTTAAGAGCAGCGACAGTTGACCAGGCACCCAGCCTGGAGGTAGTGTCCTGAGAGCAGCAGCACCCGAGTAAAGGTGGCACTATCATACAATGCTATCCTTACTTCAGTGTGGCTGCCTTCAGAGCTGGATGGCCAGAGAGCGGCAGCTGTTGACTAAGGGCCCAGCTCTGCAGGTAGCCGCAGAGGAGTAAGGGAGACAATGCCATACCAGGCCATCCTTACTACTGTGCTGCCACTGGGGGTGGCTCTACCTTCAGAGCTGGACTCCACGCCAGCAACCGCCATTCTACAGCTGCCCAGCTCTGAAGGCAGCTCCACTGGCAGCAGCAGCAAAGAAGTAAGGGTAGCAGTACTGTAACACACTCCTCCCAGTAACATTGCGACCACCCCACAACTCCTTTTCGGGTCGGGATCCCCTACAGTTACAACACCATGACATTGCCGATTTATATAGCTGAAATCATGAAATTTATGATTTTTTACATTCTATGACTGTGAAAGTGACAAAATGAATTTGGTACAGCCCTACATATCAGATGAAATTGGAGTCAGGCACTTCAAAAACAAGAGAATATAAATAAGAAACCCTGCCACCATACTCCAAGGTAGAAAAAGCAGGTTATGATGCCTTTACACAATCACATGGGTAACAATATTTTATTTTAATTTATACGAAAGAATGATACCGCAGCCTGAAAACTGGGATAGCGACTTTTCTTGGTAACACAATCACATTTCAAATCTTAACTACACATAGACAAGTGATCAGATTATTTTTTCCCAGTCGGAATCATACCAATAACTTTAATCAAATGCAACTGGGCTGCTGCATTTATCATACAAGGGTAATGAAAGAAAATACAATCTTGTTAAAAGAACACAGGAAAAGTCATACCGAGTCAGCTCTGTGGTCTATCTAGCCCAATATCTTGTCTCCTATCAGTGGCTGGTGCCAGATGATTCAGAAGGAATGAACAGAACAGAACAGAACAGAACAGATCAAGATATCAAGTGATCCATCACCTGTCAGCCAGTCTCAGCTTTTGGTGATCAGAAGTTTAGGGACACCCAGAGCATGAGCTTACATCCCTGTCTATATTGGTTAATAGCCATTGATCAACCTATCCTCAATTAACTTTTCCAATTCTTCTTTGAACCAACTAATGAAGGTGATCAAAGAGGGTGTGCGGCCCCTAATGGATGAAGGAGGTAACCTAGTGACAGATGATGTGGGGAAAGCTGAAGTACTCAATGCTTTCTTTGCCTCTGTATTCACGGACAAGGTCGGCTCCTGGACTTCTGCGCGCCAAGCTGAGGGGGACGTGACGGGTGGTGAAAAACAATGTCAAAGGAGAGAGTCATATGGGGACAAGCAGATTTCTCTCTGTACGGGGAAAGATCTGACTCTAACAGCGTTCCAGTGCTGTCTCTGTGGAGGGCCCCAGTGCCGTTCATAAATGCTAATGAGCTATTCTTCCCCTCTCCTACAGATGACTCAGTTGAGGCACGAAGAGGATAAGGACAAAATCTTCAAAGTGTCCACTCAAGATCACACACTGTGTTAGAGTAGGAATAAGGTTCCAGGAATCATGACTTCCAGTCTCTGAGCACTAGACATCCCTGCAGACACTACAGTTACCGCTGCAGTAAAGAGCCAGAGCAGCTAGGACAGGAAGAAAGCTCCACGGAGCCCAATGCAACAAGTCTGAGGCACTAAGAGAGTCCTTGGAAAGAAAAGGCCTGGCTAACTCAGGCGTGCTTTGAGAGAGGACTGGTAGGATGCTGCTGCTGTAGAGTAAGTAGTGAGAAGGCTGCTGCTGTTCAGGTTTTTCAGAGCCCCTCAGCCTATCTCTCAGTTCTCACACTGGGGATCTGGCATTGCCTTTTGTGCACTACAGGGGCCTAGCCAAATGCGTTTTTACAACCATTTCCAAAATTTCAGAGACTTTATTCAAATTCACATTTTTTCCAGAACAAAATCACAGCCCTGTGTGATGACACTAAGCTGGGGGGAGAGGTAGATATGCTTAAGGGCAGAGATAGGGTACAGAATGACTTAGACAAATTGGCGGATTGGGCCACAAGAAATCTGATGAGGTTCAACAAGGTCAAGTGTAGAGTCCTGCACTTGGGACGGAAGAATCCCAAGCATAGTTACAGGCTGGGGACCAACCAGTTAAGTAGTAGTTCTGCCGAAAAGGACTTGGGGGTTACAGTGGATGAGAAGCTGGATATGAGTCAACAGTGTGCCCTTGTAGCCAAGAAGGCTAATGGCATATTAGGTTGCATTAAGAGGAGCATTGCCAGCAGATCCAGAGATGTCATCATTCCCCTTTATTCGGCTTTGGTGAGGCCGCATCTGGAGTATTGTGTCCAGTTCTGGGCCCCCCACTACAAAAAGGATGTGGATGCTTTGGAGAGGGGCCAGCGGAGGGCAACCAAAATGATTAGGGGGCTGGAGCATATGACTTATGAGGAGAGGCTGAGGGACTTGGGTTTGTTTAGTCTGCAGAAGCGAAGAGTGAGGGGGGATTAGATAGCAGCCTTCAACTTCCTGAAGGGAGGTTCCAAAGAGCATGGAGAGAGGCTGTTCTCAGTAGTGACAGATGGCAGAACAAGGAGCAATGGTCTCAAGTTGTGGTGGGAGAGGTCCAGGTTGGATATTAGGAAAAACTATTTCACTAGGAGGGTGGTGAAGCACTGGAATGGGTTACCTAGGGAAGTAGTGGAGTCTCCATCCCTAGAGGTGTTTAAGTCTCGGCTTGACAAAGCCCTGGCCGGGTTGATTTAGTTGGAATTGGTCCTGCCTAGAGCAGGGGGCTGGACTTGATGAACTTCTGAGGTCTCTTCCAGTTCTATGATTCTATGATAATACTTTTGATCTTCACAACTTCACCAGGCAACGAATTCCATAGGTGACCATGTGTTTTGTGTTGAACTACCACAGTATGGCCAGCTTTTGCCACACACCCAAACACGGTTTGGCTCAATCTACATTGATGGTGTCAAACTATAAGTGAACCCCAAAACCATGTTCTAGCCTAAATTCCTACCTAGAAGGATCTATCATTTTCCTGTAGATCTATCGTTTTATAGGGCCTATGCTAGGCTGTTTGACATATTTTGAAAAGTGCACACAGACCACAACTGAATCTTAGAAATGCAGGGCTGAAAGGGACCTGAACATAAGAACATGATAGAGGTCTATAAAATCATGGCTGGTGTGGGAAAAGTGAATAAGGAAAAATTATTTACTTGTTCCCACAATATAAGAACTAAGAGTCACCAAATGAAATAAATAGACAGCAGGTTTAAAACAAACAAAAGTAAGTTTTTCTTCACTCAGTGCACAGTCAGCCTGTGGAACTCCTTGCCAGAGGATGTTGTGAAGACTAGGATTTTAACAGGGTTCAAAAAAGAGCTTGATAGATTCATGGAAGTTAGGTTCATCAATGGCTATTAGGCAGGATGGATAAGAATAGTGTCCCTAGCCTGTCTGGAAATGGGTAATAGGAAAGGGATCACATGATGATTGTTGTGTTCCCTCCCTCTGGGGCATCTGGCCTTGGCCACTATCAGCAGACAGGATACTGGGCTAGATGGACCTTTGGTCTGACTCAGTATGGCCGTTCCTATGCACTCAGACCACAACTGAATCATAGAAATGTAGGGCTAGAAGGGACCTGAAGAGATCAATTAGCCCGTTCCCCTATACTGAGGCAGGATTAATTATACCATACATGGCAGTTAGAGAGTGATTTTCTGATAAGATAGGGCTGCTTCTGTTCCTATTGAAGCAGACTTGGCAAAACTTCGGTGGGCACACAATTGCTATTGGTCATAGTAGGCCCATTCAATCACTGATTCCAAATAAGTAAAACACCAGTCTACTATGTGCCAAGGGATTTATACATATAAAATAAAAGGTGATCACACCAATAAGGTGCAGCAAATCAGTCAGCATTAACAACTGATTTAGAGACTGAATGGCCCACTACAATTGCTTGGTCAGGTATTACTGCCTTAGTAAAGTTTATTCCTTTCTGTTTTAGACAATATCCTCCAAGATTAATTTATAATCCTGTCAGGTGTGTTTGTGTGTGCAGCTGTCAGGAAAACTTGTAACCTTACCATCTAAATCACAGCTCACTGAAATATGGTGAGAGATGCTTAGTTACTGTCGGCTAAGAAATGCATCCCAAACACTTTCACCACTGTAAGACATTTAAGAAATGTTGTTTCATTTGTAGATTAGAAGCACAGCTTGTTTTGGCTGCCATGTCTTCTGTTAGTTTTGTTTGACACAAGTTAGAAATACTGCCATGTTGCATTTTCCACTCACGTTCTCAATTTCAAATGGTCCTGAGGCATTCATATGTACAGTTATTCTTCCCATATTGCTGAAAACAAATCAAATTAAGCAAATGAAGATACTAAAGCGTTGCATTCAAGGCAAATGAAAAATCCTTATTTATTTCCATTCAGATCCGTGATAATGAGCCTTGACCTTTCATTGGTTGCATTATTTTTGCATTTGCAATAGGAAATTTGAATAGCAAAGGGATTACATCTCAGGGCCATTCTCCAACAGGAGTTACCTTACTTGTCACTAATGTAACCTGAGCACCTTGTGAATGAGCTAACCACTCGTGTGGAAAAAAAAGGGTTCTGAGATAACATCCTTAGTAATGGGATTACTTGAGTGTGGAAGGCAAATGAACAAAATGATATAGCCTGCACTCCTCGCCATCTCCCAGAACAAAGACTCTGGATGTCATTTACAAGGCAAGGAAAAAAAGAGGTTCCTACACTTTAGTAAACATTTATAAGCTTACATGGGAATGCAAGAGAGCCACAGAGAGCTTAAAATTTGTTTACTCTACAGGCTCCATACTGGCATGGCTATAGTGGTAAAGCTCTGTAGCGTTAATGTAGTGTACACTGACAGAAGTAGGTTTTCTGTCTGTCAGCTCTCAACACAGCTGTGACTGGAGTTTTTGTCGGCAGAGTTATTTTAACCCAGAGTGTAGATTTTTCTGTAGGTGAGCCTTCAGAAGGAATAAGGGCAGCTCTGCACAGCAGGTGCCTTGGAAAAGCAGACTGTGGAAAAACATAAGAATCTAACACAGCTTTATCAGCTCTCCACCAGAATGGAGTTTACTACCCCATAGCGTGGGCAGCATACTCAAAGGCAGAAAGGTGTTTTTGAGAACAACCTGCACCACATGTAGTCTTACTACACATAGGAGCATGATCTTATACATAGACATTTAATGGCCTTAACTTCCACAGATTCTGCAGGAGCCTGAAAATCAGTCCATTCTAGCTACTTTTGAGGTTTTTCTAGTTAAAGCAGCGCTCGTCATCAAACTGATGTACAATCAAATTCAATCTACATAGATATAATGTGAACACGTAACCCTCTAATGCGAAAAGTGGAAATTTCCTGCCCATTAATTCTCCTTTGCTGAATTGCCTACAAAATCCCGACAACTGTTAAGCCACTGGTGTGCTGAGATCACCTTTGATCACGGTGACCAGCACTGACTGTTTCCTTGTACTCCCATATCTGTCAGTATTCATCTGCTGTCTCTTGTCTTAAACTTGGATTGTAAACTCTTTGGGGGGAAGGTCTTTTTCTTGTTTTTTTTCCAGCACCTAGCATACTGGGATCTTGGTGGATGAGTGATGCTTGTTGTAATAACTGGGCCTACAAATTTACCCTTATTATAAGCTCAACTGAAACAAGTACATGACAGTTTATAAAATGTTACAATAACCTAAAATAACAAATATTGATGGGAAAAGGCATGGTCACAGAAAGACTGGATTAGTCCAAAGAACCTTCCTGATATAACTGTTAAGATCACGCTTGGTAAATCAGAAATATGTGCAACTAAAAACTAGTGAACCAAAATTGGTGTGTGGGAAACTAAGCCGAATTAATTGATGGACAAAATAAAGAGTAGGTGGGCTATTCCACCTGTGATTTCCTTTTGTGGTCCTTACAGGAAAAGACTTTGGGAGAAAAATTGGCTACTGGTCTAAACTTCACTATCATGGTGCTGCCACTCTCACCATCTCTTGGGACTCTGGAATTTCTTCATCCTAATCCTAAGAAATGTCCTGACTAGGTCAGCCCAGAAAGATGGAGCCTGATGATACTGGCACCTCTGCTGGCTCCAATGGAATCCCAACCACCACCTGGGATGAGACAGGATTGGACTATAACAGCAGAAGAAGCTTCAGGCTTTTTCAGCTAACTTTTCCTCTTTACCCCAGATAGGATACTTATTGCCATCTGTCTAAGAGACTCTCAAACAAGTTTTTTTTTCCTTTCAAAAACTCTCCAGAAAAAGGAAATCAGAGGTATTATTAAAATAAAAGCCTTATTTAATATTTAACATTTCAAAAATATTAAAGGTAAAAGTTTTATTAATAGTGTGTTTGCCATGGTACTAATCTGGTTCAGTTTTCTGTATATACAACCTCAAACCTTGTTTAACATTGTTTAATGTTAGACAGTGACTCGTCATCTTTAGTCCATATACCACATCTGGATACCACCACAGGCGTCTAGGCCTAGTAATTATTATTGACTATTCATACTAACAATAGATTCTTCCTTTAACAGGTGTATGCCATCAGAATAATCAGGCTGGGTCACACTAATGGTCAATCTAGCCTTGGGATGCAAATAATGTAAACAAATATCAGCCATGTAACCAGTCAAAATTCTATTGGTTACACAGTTAACCGTTGGGCTTGGCTGCCAATCCTGCAGGTTTGAGGCTGCCAACCCTACAGCATGATGCAGTGGACTCATCTGGGCCCACCACACTGTGCCATGGGCAGGAGGCTGCTCTGTTTAGGTCATGGTGATGGTAAGCATCACCCGATAAGGAGATTCATCTCAGTCTTCCCCTCCCATCGCTTCTAGCTTATGGAAATTCTGAATCAGAGCACAAAGGAGTTAAACTAAACTCCAAACATCACAATTCATAGCCCAGTGCTGCAGTGAGCATTTGTTTATCATCTTTGCCATGTCTAGGGACTATGACTCACAGCTTTCTTAGCTTTTCAGGGAATGAGGGGTTTTTGTTTTCCCTTGACAGGCATAGCGAATTTGATCTTTACGAACACTCCCACCCACACTGTTTTTATAAATATTAATGCTTTACTAAGTTAAAATCAGTGTAATCATTAGATTAAAAACTATTTCACTTTGATGATCAAGGCAGAATTGGATGGTTGAGTGAAGCTACACAATGAGGATGGGTGTCTATTCAGAATGAGCAGCCCTCCAAAAAAACAACCACCAACCACCTTCTCCTGTTGTGGTTTCCACAAAGGATACGGTCCAGGCTGAGTTTAGTAAGTGACTGGTATGAGGACAGATCTCGCATTTCAGGTATTTGGTTATATGAAAAATCCACTTCCTGAAGAGAAAAAAGATACACTAAGTTGTTTTCTTTCTTCAGCATTTTCAGCTCCTTTGTGAAACTATCCATTAACTTGTGGTGGGGTATGTAAAGGAAGTAAAGGTCATTAATATTAATATGTGGTGAGACATAAACAAAAGGGTTTATATTAGATACATAATTCACATTTTGGAAGCTTCCTTAACTACTGTGTGTTCCTCCTACAGACAATGTTAATGGTCCAGCAATGATACATAACGATTAGAGATAGAGTAAGGAAATTCACGGTGGTAATGTTTCAAAACAATATCCAGATCTTTGTAACCCACAGTGGCCTATATGAAAAGAACTGCAGAGAAAATAGAACTGTATATGACTATTCTTCATATACATCTCTCTCAGTACTGATTGGTACCAGTCAATGTGAAAGGTGGGAACTGATTCCATTCAAGATTTGATTCCGTTGGCAGAATTTTAACCAGTACAACAAATTGTGTAAAATGCTATAGTGTTTGGGGTTCAGGTATGTGAAACCAAATGAGAGATGTAATTATTTTTTTTAAATGGCAACCAGTATAAGATGAATGCCTAGGAGACGAAGGAAGTTTGATCTCTTTGCCTGGCATAATACAGAAACTAAATTACATTTGAAAGGTCTCTCTGAATTCAAACCTGACAGGACATTTCTCACAACATACCTTGAGATTTTTAGGTGGCGTGAAATTGAAATATGTAGTAAGTTCATTATTGGAAGCATCAAGTTCCAGTAAGTAAGGCATGTGGCTGACACAAGACAGGTCTATAACACAGGGAAATACCAAATGAAGTAAAATAATACACTGGGAAATACAAAGATTACAAGGTTATAGTGTAATATACCAATTTCACCCCCTAGGAGGCAAAAAAACAATTGTAAACCATGCAAGACACAGAGCAAGGCTTGGCACACAGTAATCAAATGTATTAGCACCTCTCCCTACACAAAAGATAGTTTCTGTACAACTCAAGACACAATAAATGACCAATTCCTAAATCAAACTCCATTATTTAAAATTGATTTAATTTTCAATCATCCTAATTTAACTTTATTGCCTAAGGTAAAATCCTCAAAAAAGTATTAGTGGTTTAGGAACCTAAATTCCATTTTTTTTCAAAAGTGACTTAGGCTTTTTAGTCTCAGGCAAGACTGAAAACTTACCTTTTTAGATCCCTCACAAATCAATCCATCTTTCACACATCACCACTCATGCCAAAGTGATATCCAAAACGGCATCGTATGCAATTTCTTAATTTAGATCTTAGCAATGATTTTTAAAAGGCAGAGTCTTAAAAGGGTCAAGAAAGGAGCAATTATCTCTTGGGAGAAGGGTCCTGTTCTGTTCAAGCAGCTACTTGGTAAAATGTAAAATGGGCACAAGGAGGTTGTGACAGTCACAGAGTTGCATTCACCTCCAGCTCTCCAAATGTATAAATACTAAGGCAGAAGCTATATGACACAGCAGGTTACTTCACAGACCTTATTTAATATTATTTGCATTATTGTAGTGCCTGGAGGTCTCAGTCATAGCCTCGGGCTCATTGTGATAGGCGCTGTGCAAACACAAAATAAAATGACATGAGACCTGATTGTGAGTTTGGTGAGTTTCATCCTATTCTCATTTGTGATCATCAGAAAGGCAGCACACAATTCTGTATACTTCAACCCCAGTAAGAAATCTTTGCTGAAGAGAAACCCCAAAACTGAAATAGCTGTCACACACATCACTTTATATATTCTGATATTTGCATGTGTAAAATCTCAACCCTAACTCTGCACTAATCTGGCTGTTTGCACTTTATATCCAAATAATAAACGGGACAGTAAATTTTACTTTCATGTTGCCTAGCATACGCTGGTGCCACAGGATAAGTACCATTAGTATATTATTCTCAAGGAGACCTAGCTATTGTATCACTCTGCAGTGTGGGACTGGCAATGCCATTAATCCATAGACAGAGTTTTGTGATATTAAAGCTGCACAGAACACTGCATTTTTCATCTTAAATAATTTTACAACCCAAGCGTTTACTAGAGCACTTACTACATACCATTGATTGTATTGTATGAAAGCTGCAACTTCTCTAGGTGAATGTATCTGGAGAGAATGCTAATGTCACTTAAATTACGCCCCTGGGAAAATAAAAGCAAAGCAGCTTTAATAACTCGCTGTGTAACCACACCCTGCTCTCTTCAGAGACACAGTACAGATTGGACCTCTCTAGTCTGGCACCCTCAGGACCTATCTGGGCCCAGATGAGGGATTTTGCCGGACCAGGGGAGGTGATTTTTGGACCTCTGCCACCAGCTCCCTTGGCTCCGCTGCTGGCCTCCCAACCGGCTCCCCACCGCCCTGCCATCCCAATGGGCAGCTATTGCTGTTGTGGCTCTGCCGGGCAGCCCAGCGCTGGGGCTCCAGGTAGCTGTGCGCACCACACACTGGGGCTCCCGATAGCCATGTGTACCGGGGGTTCCATAGGCAACACTGAGCATCGGGGCTTCCTGAGCAGCCCCACACACTGCCGAGACTCCCTGGGTAGCAGCGCAGAGGTCTCGTACTGGGGCTCCCAACCCCACTGGGCAGCCCCGCTGCCATGCGCTGAGCAGCCTCGCCATCAGCTCCGGGTGGGCAGCTCACTGCCCTGCCAGCCCTGCAGGGATCCTTACTGCTCGCCCTCTACCGGGATACCCTGGCCTTGCAACATCCGTGCCGGACCATGGATGTTGCTAGACCAGAGAATCCCGGTTAAGAGAGTTTCAAGCTGTAGGAGGAAGTGTTGATGAGACACCCACAGCTTCCTTCCTTTGGATGCTGGGATCTGAGCCCCACCAGATTACGTTTACATAGAACAATGTCTATTTACACCTAAAATAGACACAAATGAGGAAAAAAGTAAAAAAAAACCCCACAAAAACCAAAAATACAATCGCGAGACATGACTGCTTCCAAAGGAATGCCACAACATCAGGCTGCATACAAGAGGAATCTGTGGCATGTCATCTTTAACCAGATTCAACTCTGCTAATCTTCTTGGACAGCAGCAATTGCTTCCCACCAGAGTTATGCTGCAGGCTGTATTCCAAGGGGATTACCACCCCCACCCCCACCCCCACCACGCACACACAGAACAGGAGCAGGAAATTACCCTGGAGACAAAGTAAATAGAAATCCTGCCTCCTACAGCTACTGCTGTTCCTAGTAGAAAACAAAGTGGGACTGATACAGATCGGGAAGGAGTGAAGTCACAGCCTTCCAACGGTCTCCAATACAGGAGCCAGAAGTGTTAACTACAAGAGGTGACCAAGTTGCCCCTGCCTCCTGAAAAAAAAAAGGACACATCTTGCCAAACAAGCCGTCTCTTCTTAAGAGTGAAATTTAGCATATGTCAACCCTTATGAGCAGAGAACTACATCACAATGATGGCTCTGCTGAAAGAGGTTTGTTCTTTGGTTGTACTCACTGAAAGTGACAGATTAAGATAAACAAACTTGGTGCCAGGGGCTGAACGCCCCAGTTTGTACAGGGCCTCAGCCACAGTATCTTCATCCAGTACCCCATCAAAATGCTCCTGCAAGACAGAGCCACATTTAGGTAGACGTAAGAGACCACATTTTACACTGTTCAGTCCTACTGAAGTCACTGGAATTGCATGGGATCCAAATCAGGACAGAAAACAGGTTTTCGTACCAGCCTCATCAGCCTAGTGTAGCACCTTTTGAAATAGCTTTAGACACCAAGAGAAATAAATTATTATTGGATATAACTTTAGCATTCAAAATTACAAATAGGAGCATGCAGTACGCTAGCTCCAAACTCTCACATAGGCAGCAGAAAAGCCCGAGGTCAACATTTTCAAAAGGGGCCATTTCGTTTTCTCATTTCTGATGCTCGACTTTAGAAATGATTTGGTTTGCAAAGACACCAAGCACATGCGCCTCCCTTTGACTTCAATTGGGTTATGAATGCTCAGCTCCCCTGCAAATCAGATCTCAAATATTTCAAGCTGAGTTCTCAAAAATTAACACATTCAGAGACTCCATTTCTTTTTGCCTGACTGATGTGAAATCCTTTTCACAAACCAGCAAGTCCTCTGCCAAGGGGGTGGTTAACAGATGGCACTAGTGAACCAGCGCACAGATTTAATGAGAAAATAAGCCAATGAGTTGTGAAATTCCTAGGAGTTTGGAGAAGCCACACAATGATCTCAGTTCCAGGGACCAAGACAAATAATTTATCAAAGCGTAATAATGCGAATCCTAGCACCTACTACAGCAATTGGCTCGATAGAGATATTAGAGCGGATCATGCTAGAGAGATATTGAAGACATGATTAAAAATATGAAGGGACAATGCCGCGGTGAGGGGCATATTAGAGACAGATGAAACCAAACAAATCCACCTCGCCCTGGGAACTTATTGAACGTCAAGGCTGGGCACATGTCCTGCACTCAGCCACACTGAGGTGCCTCTGCTGTCCAGCATTAATTCAGCAATGTCCAAGCCAGCCTGCCCCTTTCTGGCAGAGATCGGGACAAGTGCAGAGGGAAACACACCCGATCCCTGCTGATGGAAGCAACCCAGGGGAAGCCGGGAGTGCGGCAGGAATAAACGGAGCCTCTCTTGTGCCCCTGGTGACAAGCACAGGCGTGGGGAATAAGGGGGGGGGGGGTTGCAGCAGCCCGGGCTTGGGGCATCCCCCGCA